CCTTCCTACTATCTCTCCTTCTCTTTCTCTCCCTTCCACCCACCTCTCCTTGTCTTTCTCTCCCTTCCACCCACCTCTCCTTGTCTTTCTCTCCCTTCCACCATCCTCTCCTTTGCCTTCCTTCTTCCCTCCCTTCCCTACTTCCTTCCTCCTCTCCTTCGCCTTCCTTCTTCCCTTACCTCTTCCCTACTCCTGCTCTCTCTCTTCCTCTTCCTACCCACTCTCCTTCTGGGAGAGAGAAGATTGTTACTGCTCTACATTTCTGAATAAAATCCAAGACTTGGAGAATTTATTACACCGGACACATACTAACTCTTATCCAACCAAATTCTTGGTTATAGACAATGGGCTTACTTGCGAACCATCCAAATATCTTACCCAAACATCCCACAAAAAACTAGAATCACCATCATGATAAAGTTAGGAATATTGCTATTGCTCCTTTCTCTCTGATTCAGTAACAAGTGGATGACGCCATACTCTTGACACAAAATTAGATTTCATTCGGGTTTTCTTGTGGGATTTTTCCAAAACATTTCTTTGTAGAAAATCCTGAAGATGAAGGTCTGAACTAGATCTGGGCAAAGGGTCTGGCTCCATGAATCAGGGGCTCTCCCTGGACAGATGGCTAGTGATTAATGTCAACTCATAACTCCAAGAGAGCAACAGCCTCATTCCTAAATTCTGAACAGCAGCATTTCTACAGCCTGTGAGAAGAACAGCCCAGGTCAGTTTGGGCAACCAACTATAAAACAACCTGGCATTTATGGTATACCAAGAGCAGAAGCCTTTCCCTGCTGGCAGGCTGTCTTAGAAGCCATAATTCTTGTATCTCCTGACATCTCTCTCTCCTTCTGCAAGAAGGTACCGAGTCCAGGACTAAAGCAAGGTCAGGAAATTGCTTAGAATTTGCTTAGAACAAGATCTAGCTGTCTAATCTCTTCCTTCTCTATTCAAGCTACAAAAGAAAGCAAGGTTGGAAACTCTACTGTATCCAGAACCAAACCAGGATGGAGAATGGCAAAGAACAGCAAAGAGTTCTTTGGGGCCATTGTCCCTAAGAAAAGATCTGCTTCCAATTCCAACTCAGTCATGTCCCAGCTGTGATATCCTCCCCCCACCCCCAGATCCAGACTGCATGGGCAAGTCCTACGTGCCAAGCTAAGCAACTACAGTTGAGATCCATCAGCAATAATCCACATGGAACTGTCTAGCTAGTGCATGACTCCTGCAGGGGAGAAGGCAAGCAAAACTATCTGCTAAGAGAGATTAAATGGATGGAGGGAAAAAATGAGGAATGCAGTAAAAAATCACTTGAATGCATCATCAGAAGGACATTTCCAAGAACCGATTGGGCTTTCTCCAGCTGATTAGAGCTGTTTGAGAAGCCTCACTTGGAAGCTTCACACACATTCGCAACTAAAATAATTTCTGCGTAATGAGGAAAAACTGTGTAGACGACCAGTTCAGCGAGATAGTACAAGCTACTCTTCTTCTGCCAGCAGATACTCAGCAGCCAAAGCACACAGGCTCCCACACAACTATCTCCATTAACAGAAAGCATCATGGCAAGTCAGTGCTCCCACTAAAGACCCTGTTTGGCAGGCAAACTTTGACATCTTGAAAAACAACAGAGGACTTTCCTGATGCTTGAAGAAAGTACAGAGAAACCAGTTTAAGTCTTAAAAGAGATGAAATGTGTTTTTTTTAAAGGAAGAAGGCCTTTTCAAGCTCTTGTCTTGCCTTCATGGAAAACAGGGAAAAAAGATTTCATCTCGAATTAGGTACAGGTAGTCCTTGACGTGTGACCAGAATTGAGCCCAAAATTTCAGTTACTAAGTGAGAGGGTGGTTAAGTGAATCTCACCCCATTTCTGTCATCATTCTTGCCACCGTTGTTAAGTGACTCATGCAGTTGTTAGTTACGTGGTTGTTCAGTGAATCAGGCTTCCCCGCTGACTTTGCAACCTAAGAAGGCTGTTAAGAGGGGATCACATGGCTCTGGGACATACCAACCGTCATAAATAGGAACCAGTTGCTAAGCATCCCAATTCTGATCATGTGACCATGGGGATGCTGCAACGGTCGTAAGTATGAAAACCGGTCATCACTTTTTTCAGTGACATTGTAACTTTGAGTAGCCAACCAAACAAATGGCTGTAAGTTGAGGACTACTTATGTATGAGACAACTCACTGTATTTTCAGTTTCTCCTAACTCATGATGTCTGATCTCAGGCCTCCAGAGCATTGTTCATACTTGGCCTGGAGTGAAACCAAAGATATCCTATTAAGAAGCTGCATAATTGGGGACGATGTGGACCCAAATATCATTGTCGACTCAGTCTCACTTTATGACCTTGAATTGATCAATACCATTGAACATCCTGCCTCATAGGGTTGCCATGCAGATAACATAAGAGCTGAGGTGGCGCAGTGGTTAGGGTGCAGTACTGCAGGCNCTCATTTCACCCACCTCGGAAGGATGGAAGGCTGAGTCAACCTTGAGCCGGTGAGATTAGAACCACCGAACTGCAGATAACAGTCAGCTGAAGTGACCTGCAGTACTGCACTCTAACCACTGCGCCACCTCGGCTCTTAAGAAGCAAAAGAAAGTACTAGGTAGATCTTATGTAATGTATGTAACTAAACTGGCATGTCTCACGATAAACTGTGTCTTAACTCTTTGGAAATACTTCTAAAACAGAATAACAGAGTTGGAAGGGAGATTGAAGGTCATCTAGTCCAACTCCCTCCTCAAGCAAGAGACCCTGGACTGGCACTCACCATACCAGGCGAGTGGCTACCCAGGCTCTTAAAAGTGGCTACCCAGGCTCTTAAAAGCCTCCAGTGAAGGAGCAACTGCAACTTCTGAAGGGAAGCCGTTCCATTGGTTAACTGTTCTCACTGCTAGAAATTTTTTCCTTAGTTCTAACCTGCTTATCTTTGGGATTTAAACAACTTAGGGAACGGATAGCATTGAAAAGCTCCAAGTGGTGCTTCTTGGCTACGTGTAGGAGAAAGTTTCTGCCTGGACCTTTGCTTCCAAGATGCCTAATCACAACTTACGACTAATGACCTTCTCTGGGGATTCCCAATAAGCATCTTTGCCCCAAGATGCTTTCTCTTAAGAAGTAAGCGAGGGATGAGAAAGTAGCTTTAAAAAAGCAGGATGCAGAGCAAGTCTGGGTTCATACATCGTCTTGACACTACGTGCAGACTAAGTCTAACTGTGTGGTGAAGACAAGAGGTTGTAGGATGGATGAGCAAAGCCCTGAACTTACATTCGCCCCCTTCTTCATTGACTCTGGAGAGCTCATCTTCTCGTCCGTAGGGAAAGAGATAATGGGGTGAATCTGGCAATCCATAGCCATCTTCAACTCCTGTTGAGGGTGGGATCAGTGGTGTTTCTGGAAAGTGATACCTCTCTTCTTCTGGTGGAACCGGAGGAGAAGGGCTTTCCCCCTTCTTTCCCGCTGCTGGTTTCTTAGTGGTTTTGGGACGCTTCTCCTTAGGTTTCTTGGTAGCTTTGGGACGTTTCTCCTTTGGCTTTTTGGTGGGTTTGGGCGGCTTCTCCTTTTTGGGAGGCTTTGGCTTTGGGGAGCTCCTGGGTGGTTTTTCCTTGGGCCTTTTTGTGGGTTTGGGAGGCCTCTCCTTCTTCCCTTTCTTGGGCTTCTCTGTCACCCTCTCCTGTGTTACTTTGGGAGAGAGAATATTTTTTTTTAATATTTATTTTAAACACATCAACACGTCAACAAAAACAAACACATGACTTAACACAACATAGGAACAANGCGGAAGGCCTGGAGGGTGGTGAGGGTTCGAATCTCCACAGGGAGCTCGTTCCAGAGGGTCGGAGCAGCCACAGAGAAGGCCCTCCTCCGGGTAGTCGCCAGTCGGCATTGGCCGGCGGATGGAATTCGGAGGAGGCCTAATCTGTGGGATCTGATCGGTCTATTGGAGACTTCTCCAATAAAATGTTGGGTCAAAAGATCCTAAACCTAAAACCTTCTAGCAACCATGAAGGGCAACTAGATTGATTTATTTGCATTTATTCATTTCAGGTCTCCTTATCCTGTCTTCCTTTGGGGAGCTCAATAGGACACCTAAGAGTCTGTCTCGTTTTAGGAAATAGGTTGGATTGAGATATGGTAGCCAGTTCAGAGTTAGAGTCAAGGGTTCCCCAGATTGTAATCCAGCATCTTCAACAGAAACCCTGAGTTCCTAGATAACAGTAACATAGCACTCCTGGATTGGGACGGAGAAGGAATGAAACGCAAAACTTTCCTAATAAAATATTAGCACATCCAACTTTCAGCATCTTCCACTTAATAAGTGAGCCTTGATTATCTTAATTTACTGTCATTGTATTTAGGGGCAAGAGAAGGCTGTGACACAAAACTTTCTTTACTTTCACCAATAGATACTGTTGTGGAAAGTTTAAAATTCTTCATGCATCATGCTACAAAATTTAAATGTGGTTTGCTGACTATGAGAGAATTGGCTGGGTTCACATATCATGCAAAACACAGGAAACGGGGATACTTTGGCTCTCCAGATGTTGGATTAAAACTCCAATTATCCCAGCCAGCAAAAAGAGATGCTGTGTGTTGCATTTCACAGCCTCAAAAAGGCCACAAGTTTTCCATGCCTGGATTAAAACAACAACATTGAGCTCAGAAGCTGCAGTGGCTGGATTCCCACAGCAGATCAATCAAAATAGATTATGACTTAATAAAGGAACGCGCCTGTTAAGTCAAGCCACTGATCAACTGCCTCTAATCAAAGATTGCCAAGTCCAGGGGGCAAAAATTAGATAGCAGCAACATAACTCTTTGTTGCCACTAAAGATTTTTGCAGCCCAGATATATGAGAAGCCTAATCTAATCCACAGTATTCTGAACAGCAGTTTCCTCGGGCTGCAAGTCTTTCCTATCATTTCTCTATCCAAATGAAAATTTAGGATTTACTTCAGGTAGAACAAGCAACATTTCTCAAGCTTGTTTAAGATCAGAATTCCAGCTGGGGAATTCTGAGAGTTGAAGTCCACACATCTTAAATTTGCCAAGGATGAGAAATACTGATTGTAGAGGAGGTCTTTGACCAATGAGATAGGAGGACATATGGGGTCTCACCTTCTTCGACCTCAGTTGGAGCTTTCCCTCTTTCTGCAGGATTCAGGTTTCCTTGATTTTCAGGAAGCTCCTCACCAACAGCCACCTTCCCTGTTTCTGGACCTTCTGAGTCCTCATCCACCTCTCCCAGGAAGCCTTTCAAGAATTCCTCAATTTCATGGTCGGTCAACACAGACTGGGGTTCCACAGGACTGGGGTTCCAGAGACACAAGATTCCCACCAGCAGGGAAAGAAGCAACGGGGGGCCATCACCTTTCATCCTGCAGAGCAGATGAAGTGCAATGGGAAGCCAAGGGCCTTGGAAGAAAGGAAGAGGGAGACTTCCAGATGATCTGCTATCTGTTTTTTTTCTGGTATAGGAAGTGTCTTCTCATAGAAGCCACAGCTGAGTGGGGAAGAGGCTGGACCGGGGGGGGGGGGGAGAAGAGAAGCACCAGCCCCAAAATAGGGTCCAGGCACTGACTTGCAGAAGGGAACGCGAAGAAGGACGAGTTGACCAGAGGCTCGTCGGAAGGACGAGGGAAGTCGGTGATGGCAGAAGAAATGCAGGGTCTCCTCCTCCCAGCTCGCCCTTGAGCTCCAACCGAGCAGCTTCGGGGTTGCAGAGTTCAGCGGGCGACGGAGGGACTTGCCAGCAGTTCGCGCCGTCCAGTCTCGTGCGGCTGCTTCTAACAGAGCCCAGGGGCGGAGGGCAAGCCGGAGCGGCGAGAAGGCACCGCGCCGCTTCCTCCCTCGCCCGTCCCTTCGAGGTGCCCCCTTCCTCGCAGCCTCCGGCCAGTCCTTTCGCCCCGGGAGCCTTCGGTCCTGCAGCGGCAGATGGGAATGGGGGACGCCGCCGTTCCGCCCAGATGCTCTTGCCCCGAGCTCGGTCCCGCTGCTCTTGGAGATCAAATGCGGGGTGGGGACCAAGGGACCGGGGAGGGAGGGAGGGAGAGAGGGAGTTGCTGGCAGCCGCGGGGAACCTCCAGATCCAGTTCGAGCAAACGTCGCCGGTCTCCTCCCCTAACTGCGGTCGGTCCCCCTCCCCGATCCGATCCCAGCGAAGGGTGGGTCCCGGGCTGCTCCGCCACGTGTAGCCAGCACAGTTCAGCGCCACTCCTGCGTTGCTGGCTGGGGCTGCGCGGTGGGTTTCCTCCTCTGCCCCCCAAAGGCGCCCAGGGAGAGAGGGAGGGAGGGTCGCTTAATTCGCGGGGGGGAGGAGGGGGTCTGCGCCCGATGCCTGGCATTGCTTGAGGGAGCGGTGTTTTCTTTCCTGAGTGGGGGGGCTTATGTGATCGGGAGTGCCACATAAATGAAGGATGGAGGAAGGCCGAGACAAGCAAGAATCTGCCTGCCCTGTCTTAGTTTTAGCCCCATGGAGCCAATCTGAAGCTTCTAAAGAGCAGTGGTGATAGAACCCAGCGGTGGTGGGGAAAGCATTAAGAAACTGCCATGTATCAATTCAGGACATATGTCAACCTAGCAGATAATTAGGTCATGTCCGGCTTACCCATTATTTCCCATGCCCCTGAACTGTTTGCTCAAATTGGCAGCAATCCTGCTCCATGCAGAAGTCGTCTTTATCTGTTTGCTCACGCTCCTCTCTATAGAGGCCTCTTCACCTCTTTTCACTGGATATAGGTTGTCCTCGAGTTACAACCACAATTGGGAACAGACTTTCTGCCGCTAAGCAGGGTGTTGTTAAGTGTGTCGCGCCCGGTTTCATGATCTTTTTGCCATGGTTGTTAAGCAAGTCACTATAGTTGTTAAGCGAATCCGGCTTCTCTCCCACCCCGCATTCACTTTGCTTGTTGGAAGCCAGCCGGGAAGATCACAAGGGGTGATCGGATAAGCCTGGGGACGCTGCAACTATCTTAAATACATGCCGGTTGCCAAGTGCCCAAATTCTGATCACATGACTGGGGATGCTACAATGGTTGTAAGTGTGAGGACCAATTGTAAGTCACTTTTTCGGTGCTGTTGTAGCTTTGAGCGATCACTAAACTAACGGCTGTAAGTGATCTGGTCTACCTGAACTGGTTGTGGAATCCCTGGATCTCTTTGGGTCAAAGATGAGCTTTGCCACTGAGTGGTGAACACTTTCGGATTCAGATATTGCTGCCAATTCCGTGGCACGACAAAACCGCGGTCCACTAAAGCGCGCCCGATTAAAGCGCGTCGCTGACGTCATCAGCNCTCTTCAAGGGCTGCCCCATGTAGAGCACGTTGCAGTAGTCCAGTTTTGCAGGGCTGAGAGGAAAAGAGGACTGAGGAACAGGCCCTCCAAAGCTGCCCACCACTTGTCATTTTTGCAACCAAATTCTCCCCCCAAACAGAGGATCCCCCAACCCAAATATTGTAGGGCAGAGCAGGCTGGGCAGATAACTGGGCAACAGGTGGGGGGGATGCTACAGCAGCTCTGCTGTGAATGGAGGGAAAGAAAAAAAGTTCGGATTCTCTCTGCTGCAGCGGCACTTAGTTGAATGCTGCAAAGAGAAGCAGAACTTCCCCCCCTCCATTCACAGCAGAACTATTGCTCCCTTTATGGTCTCTCCTGGCCCCCTACCTCCCAGGGGTCGAAGTACCTGAAAGGGACAGACAGGTTGCCGCAGCTCCCTTCCAAGCAGGCTCCGAGTCCCTTCCCTTCTCTCTCTCTTTTGGCAGTGGGAGAAGGAAAAAAGTGCTCCAGGAGGGCAAATGGACATCCAGGGGCTGCTACACATGTGCCTGGTCCATTTATGCAAAGGCAGAGCCCCCTCCCCACTGCAGGGTGATCCAAAGAGGGGATGGGAATGCTGCAGAAAAGGCTGCCTTCCATCCAGGCCCGCATGCCTCTCATGCCGTCTCCACGGGGCTTCGGACTCCGAAACAGCCCACTGGCTTCCCACCCAACCACCTGCCTGCTCTCTTTGCAGATCGGCCCATCCAACTGACGGTGCTACTCCGGATACTCGGCCTGTGGAGTCTGGTGCTCCCGGGGGAAGGAGACTTGGCTGTGGCCCATTCCCCACGTGAGGGGCTGCCCCCCCCCCCCGCTAGCATCTTCTGTCTCTTGCTCTGCTTCTTTGCTGGTGGTAAGCAGCAGTGCAGCCGAGGAGCAGGCAGGTGGCTGGGTGGAAGGCAGCCTTTTCTGCAGCATCCTCTTTCCCTCTTTGGATCGCCCTGCAGCGAGGGGGGGGGG